CCCAGGATATATGAAAGGCTCTAGGTTCAATCCCTACAATGGTGGGAAAAAAAGTAGAAAAAGAAAATGACTTCATGTGTCATCTCTAAATAGCTGAACTCTCAATATCCCACCTCATGCACTATATGGGACACATTTCACAGCAGACAATAAATTGTTTTGCACCTTTAACTAGTCTCTAGAGAACTGTTTCATGTAGTGTGACATTTAAAGAATGCCTTAGTATATTGTGCTGAGGAACATATTTTTCAAGATTCTAATTTCATAGATGAGATTGGCTCTGCAGAATGATGCTAACATTCCACACACTCCAGTTCACTGTATTATACTGATGTTACATTCCTGGACAAAAATAAAGATCGTAGTTGCTCATAAAATCCTCTACTTATAGACTGAAACAAATCCTGCCAACCTTCTGATGATCCTGCAAGGGTAACATTTCACATATAGCAGCCTTTTCTGGACAATGAACAGTAAGTATTTCAGTTATAACTGACTGGTGAACATGTGAGTCAAATTCCAGAACAAAACATTTAAAAAATATAATTGATTATGAAATATTAGTTTAATACTATCTGCAGACCTATTTGGATATAGCCAACATATGTAATTGTCTACTCACCAATTTATAACTAAATAAAATGAAAAATGTTGTTGATTAGCCTAGAACAGCAATATAAAAAATTCTTAGTTACAAGGCAAAGCAAACATGCTGAAATATACTACAGAGAAGAGCTGAAGCCACCTAGGGCATGAGTCACTTAAGAGTCATATTTTCCAGACATCTAAGTTAACCTTTTCTATTTTAGAACTGCATTTTGACTCTTAGAATAAAATTTTCCCTAAAACATAGCATCTGATTCCTGCCTTTTAAAAAAATACATGAAGATGATATTTTAATTTTCTTTTAATATATAAGGGTCATTGTTATGAAGATTAGCCAAAAGATACGGTAAATATGTGACCACACATGCAGACTTACACTAAATATTACAGTTCAAAACCAATTTTGGGGCCAGGAATTTAGCTCAGGGGTTCCACCGCCTGCCTCGCAAGTGCAAAGTCCCAAGCTAGATCCTCCGTACCAAAAAACAAAACCAATTTTTTATAAAAGTATAATGAAAAATCACAGGTAATTTTATAACATCCTATGCAGTGTAAGGAAATTAACTACTACTACTTTTGGAGGAGGGAACTAGTCATCAAACCCAAGGCCTTTGCACTTAGCTACATCCCCAGACCATTTTTATTTCTTATTTTGAGACAGGGTCTCACTATGTTGCCTAACTGTCCAGACTGGGCTTCAACTTGTGATCTTCGTTACTCCACCTCCTCAGAGTGCCAGAATTATAGCCATGCACCACCACACTTAGCAAGATAACTACGTGTTTATAAAATTAATTAATAGACTGAATCCTTATGATATCTTCTTCCAAATACTTTCCATGTTTTCTAAAAAATCAACTTTGTTTATATTCTAATTCAACTCATCCTCAGCCTTGAAAACTTAACCCAATGTCATGCACTAGAAGTTTGTCCCCTTGCACTGTTTATTTATAGAGTGTATCTCAGTTCCCTTGAGAAACAAGTACTAGCATGAATGGGGAAAAGAGCCTACACAGTTCATTTTACTACAGATAGAAAGAGGACAATATCATGTCTGTAAGTGGGGCACCAGGACTTAATTTTCTCCAAGACTTATTTCATCTTCTGACAATGCCACACTTAAGCAACACTATTTAGAGAAGATTCAAAGTCCTATGTAGGATCTGTATAGAATCTATTTTCCCATAACTCCACTTTTTGAAAAACTCTTCTTCAGAAGTTAACTCAGACACAACTTACTCTTGAGGTGTAGGACATATGTTCCCAGAGAACAACAGTGCTTTTTTAGATGGAATTTTACAACTTTTCCCCCCAAATTAAATAAACTACAGATGTTATTATTTAACAAGTATATCATAAATACTTTTTTTCTAGACACTATTCTAACCGGAAACAAATTTTTAAAACTCCATTGTGAAAAAGCTTCTAACCTAGTGTTAGACCATCAGAGGCACTAACATGGTTCAGTTGGCTACATCTGCTCATAAAAATCTGTAGCCCAAAATCATTAAGCCAAAAATTTTACTGAAAAGAGAAATTGTTTATAGGTCTATTATTTAAGACATAGTATTTTTAGGGCCAGGGATTAAGCTCGGTGGTTGCGCCGCCAGCCTCACAGGCACAAGGTCCTGAGTTCCATCTCTGGTACCAAAAAAAAATTTTTTTTTTTAATATTTTTTAAAAGAATGAGTCCTTTTTCTTTTTCTTTTTTTTTTAATTTATTTTGAGCTTATGACTATGTTGGGTTCAACTGAGCAACCTGCCTCAACTTTCCAAATAGCTAGAACTATAAACACATGCCAACACGTTTGGGCTTAAATTTTTTTGTTGTTTTTTTCCTGGCACCGGGGATCAAACTCAGAACCTTGCACTTGTGAGGCATGCAGCGGGACCACTAAGCTAAATCCCCAGTCCTGACCTTAGATTTAATGGAACTAATTTGCTATAAGTCAGGACAGGATAATGTTATTTAATATATACAGGGTTTAAACTCTGGTGGTTTAAAATTTCCTTGTTTCGCCAGGTGTGGTGGTGAACACCTATAATCCCAGCACTGGAAAGGCTCAGGTAGTAGAATTGCCAGTCTGTTTGAGTTCGAGGCCAGTGTAAACTACAAAGGGAGACCCTGCCTCAAAAAGCCAAAACAACATTTCCTTGCTTGTTCCACAGCTTTATATTATCTAAAATCTTTAAAGACTATAAAGACCTGGCACAAAAAACAAAATGAATCAATAATTATACAGGCTGTTTAATACTTTTATTTTCTTTTTGAATCATGTATTGATTTTATCTAAGATATGTCTATATATTTCTGTCCTAGAATAAAATAAAAATTGGGAAAACAATATCAAACAATCGTGTGACTTAGCAATGTTAACTCTATAAGCCATAGTGCTTGCCCATGTTCTGGACTAGTTTGTTATGAGATAGAGAAACCCTTGAAGGAAACAGGGCCCAGAAGGGCAGCAGCTCCTTGCAATTAAACACCCGCAAAAAACTGAGACTTTTTTTACACCTTCATGAACATGCTACCTCCAAGTACAGATCATTCTTTTCCAGAGCTAACCACCTCTCTCCACCCCTTACAAACACATGGGCAGCATACCTGCACGCATTCAGGAGATACAGGCTTTGGAATTGGACACCGCTAAAGTCAAATACTATCTCTGTAACTGAAAAACTCAATACTAAACCCAACCTGATTTGTGTTCAAGTATTGCTTCACTACAAGAGATTTTGTTTTTGTTTTTATTTTGTTTGGCCAAGAAAAATGATTCCAAAAGTCTAGAGATACTGGAAACCAAGTATTAAGGTACTTAAGATTCTCTTCTTTTTCAGAATGCCTCCCTAGGAAACATAGGTACCTGCAACAAAGGCAGCAGGAAGCACAGATATGCATGTTTAGTTTATAATTATTTGGCAAACTTTTTTTCCCCATCATGTTTATCGGTACATTTCAGGCATACAATACGGTCACGTTCATCCCTGGGATCTTGAACCTTTACATGACAGGTCTGGGTTCTTACTGTTTCCCCATTTCCCAGCCCTCCCCTCTCTATTTACAAAGACTTTGTTTCCGTGTTTTTCCTTTTATCATATTTTTCCTTTTCCCTACCCCTCCCACTTTCCCTACTCCTTTACACATTTTCTTCTTATTTCACAATATCAATTATACATTTTGATCCTCCTTTATACTTTTAGTTTTTCACACCACAGAAACTATTCGATATTTACACGTGTGTGTTCTATTTATTTCACTTATGAGTATGGCCTCAGTGTGCATCCATTTAGCTATAAATGTCTCTAGTTTCTCATTCTTTGTGGCTCAGCAGTACTCCATTTTACTAAAAAAACACACATTTGGGGCCGGGGATTTGGCTCAGTGGTACTGCTGCCTGCCTCGCAAGTGAAGGCAAGTTCGATCCCTGACACCAAAAAAAAAAACAAAAAACAAAAAACAAAAAACAAAAACAAAAAAACGCATCTTTATCCAGTTGGTAAACTTTCCAATTCACATTTTAGGCACTTTTCAGTTTAACATTATATTTTACCTAAAAAAATGTGGAATTGCCTCCCAACCCACTGTCATCTTCAGTAAAATATATCTTCTAACACATTTTAAAAACAAAAACTAATTATAAATAGGATACAAAATAAATAATTTCTCATTCTGTATATAATCTATCACAATTTACAGTAGCTCCAGTTAGGTCTTTTTTAAAAAAATAAAGGAATATCCAGAGAGTTAGTTCAGTGGTTCTGCTGCCTGCCCCGTTAATGGCAAGGTCCCCAGTTCGATCACGGGTACCAAAAAAACAAATAAGCAAACAAAAATGAAATTAAAAAAATAAAGTTTGTGTTTATTTATATTTATTTTTATGAAATTTATTAGACTAAAAAAATATAGTAAATATTAAAATACTTTTAAACAATCTGTGATAAAATCATAGTGACCTTCACAGAATAAGTCACCTTTGTAAGTAGGTAAAGTAGGTAATATAAAAGAGACTGTCCCTTTTTTTTGTTTTTTGTTTTTTGTTTTGTTTTTTGTGAGACAGGGTCTCACTGCATAGTTGAGACTGACCTGGAACTCACTATGTAGCCCAGGCTGGTCTCATGGCGATCCTCCTGCCTCAGCCTCCCAAGTGCTGGGATTACAAGGCATGCACCACCACGCCCAGCTTGATTGTCTCTTTTAAAACACAAAAGATTAAAAAGAATTCTACACTCTGGTACCTAATAATTGTGATATTTCACAACCATAAAAAGAAGACAAAGAAACCATTTCAAATGAAAAGTCGTTATTACTTGCCAAAAAATACACTAAGGAATATTTCAGGCAAGAAAATGGAAGGGAGCTACACGTGCACATCAAACAATTACCTGCCGCCTACCTTGATCAATGCAGTTTTCAACAAGAGCAAAAAGCTGAGGTGAGCGCTCCTCAAGCAACTGCTGGTGAATATTCGCACATCTCAAAGTCCACCATGGCAAGCTCTAGAAGAGAAGCCATAGGTAAAGACACTTCAGAAAAAGTGTTTTCCTAATGTGTAGAGTCTGGTTTTTCCATTCATGAAACTGATGCTTCAATCAGCTAACCCACCCACTGCTGTGGTCCAACGATACCAAATCCACCTCTGTGTTGCCCATGAGCAATAACACCTCACTCCCATTCTCTGAAAGCACCGTTTTCCAGTTTGTTCAGCTGGGCTTTCTGATGCCATTCTGGACCGACTCTTTCCTCCATGAAAACATTTAGTGTCCTTGTCTGCTCTGCTCTGACCCTCTGGCACCACCGTGACCCAGCACCAACTCCAACAGGAAGCCTCTCACGAGAGCTCACTGTGGGGTGAGGGTCATTAGTTACAACTGCCAGCACACGGTGTGCACTAAGCACATCCTTCTGTATTCCTGTAGCTCATCCCTCAGCTTCAGTGCTGCTCACTATCTGTCCAGTAAGATGAGAAATCAAGTCTTACTCACCTTGGTACCCTCCTTAAAGCAAAGAACTTCAGACAAACTACAAGGAAATGGCTTGGATTCAAATATTTCCCCAAACTAGGACAATCCCATCACACCTTTGTGACACTTCTTCTGTGAAGCCTTCTCCTACTAGTGGACATGCACTGATCTTTCACTCTAACTTCTGACCAGTGCCTATAAGGTGACACCACCTGGACAGCACTGATTCTCCAAGGATTAGTTCTATCTGGACCACAAATTTTTGAAGACAGAAACTGCACTATACACTGACTTGACTGCTGCACAGAGCACAAAGTAGCTTTTGCTTTTACTCTCTTAAGCTTGTTCTTAGTTAATAAACACACACTTTTATTAGAAAAAAAAAAAAAGAGGCCTGCGGTGGCGGCTCACACTTGGAATCCTAGCACTCAGGAGACTGAGGCAGGAAGAGTGTTACAAGTTCAAGGACAGCCTGGGCTACACAGTGAGACTGTGTCTCCAAAAAAAAGGACAAAGAAACAAGAGCAAGCCAGTAAAAAATCATATATAGGGAAGAGTCACCTCTCTTCCACCAGCCCTGTGCTACACCCCTCCCCTAGAACAATTCAGGACAAAACCCTACAGTCTTCTAGACCTTTCTCTATGTGTACACAATCTCTACTGTATGTGTATGTGCAAACAATAACAGTTTTGATAGGCTCATTAAAAAATCAATATTAGGGCTGGGGATTTAGCTCAGTGGTTCCAGCGCCTGCCTTGCAGGCACAAAGACCCGAGTTTGATCCCCAGTACCAAAAAAAAACAAAAAATCAATATGAACATGTACTGATTTAAGAATTGTGTTACCTTGAATTGTATTACATGAAGGTGTAAGAAATTAATTTTCCTTTTTCAATAATAATACCTACTAATAAGACATCAAGCGTAATTAACAAAAGCATTTTTTTTTTTTGTACTGGGAATCGAAATCAGGTGTTTGCATTTGCAAGGCAGGCAGCGGAACCACTGAGCTAAATCCCTGGCAACAAAAGCATTTCTTGATTTCTCCTTTGATTCAGGGATCCTCCTCTAAACTGCCACACACCATAATTGCTACAATAATGATGCAACTACAAATGAATTTTGATTCTATGACAAAATCCTATCTAATTATTAATGCTGACTCTAAGGTCTGTATATTTCAACTCCTAAGCCAAAATCTTTATATAGAGGAGGAGAGTGTGAAACAAAAACAGAAAGCATAGAATATTGTTATGCTAGAATAAGGGTCTTTTCCTATTTGCCAAGAATTGAATAAAAGAAAAACTGAGGCATTAATAAAAAAGGAAAGTTGAGGCCATACTTTATAAGCAAATTTTTCATTGTTATGTTCTGTTATAGTAAGAATGGTCTGGGTGAGAAAGCACACTCAATGACCTCTTAAATGGCAGGGAGCAGCAGTATATTTTAGAGACAATAAATGCATGCCAACTCATTCAGTCTCACTCAGTATAATACAAAAGGAAACTGAAATTCAGAGAAACTGACTAGCATAAAACAACATAGTTATGACATGGCTTGGTCAGAAAACTGTGGTTTGCTTTCAAAGCCAAGATGCTTTTTATTCAGTATGAATATATTATTGCTTTTAGTGCACATTAGGGGTAAGAGAGAAGCACTTTCTTTACAACACCTGAGAAATACCATTATACCATAATAAACAACATGATACATTTCATAAGACTCAGACCACTCAAAAATTAACATACAAGTGGTGGAAGGCTTGCCAAGCATGTTCCAGGCCCTAGCTTCAATCCCAAGCACCACAAACAGTAATAATAATTAGTATGATTATTTAAAGGTTAAAAATAACTTGGATAAGTATACGATGCCTCTTCATCATTGTGTCCTCATTTATCAAAGAAGCCATTTTTTTGTTGGGTTTTTTTTTTCTTTTTTTTTGAGACAGGATCTCGCTATATAGTTCAGGCTGTCCTGGAACTCACTATGTAGCCCAGGCTGGCCTCTGAACTCAGGACAATCCTCCTGCCTGAGCCTCCTGAGTACTGGATTACAGGTGTGCACTACCACACCTGGCTAAAGCCAGTTTAAATGGCATCACTTAAAAAATGATATAGTAGGGCTAGGAGATTTAGCTCAGCGGCACTGCACCTGCCTTGCAAGTACAAGGTCCTAAGTTCAATTTCTGATGCCAAAAAAAAGATATAGTAAAGACACAAAGGAAAAAATTCGTAACAAAAAGATTGTTTCAGTTGAAAGGTAAGACTTCAGTCTAGAATGATGTTTGCATAGTGATGAAAACAGGGTTTTTCAGCAGAAGTCAAACACTGTTCAGCATGAGCCAAGTAACCAAGGTAGCTTGCTTTTCCAAGCCTACAAAGCTTTTCATCCGCCAACAGCTCACATATTTACTAATTCTCCTAAGCTGTTTACGGTTATGTGTTTTACTTTTCAAATGATCTTAATATATCGGTGAGGAAAGTTTTCAACTAACAAAAACTACAAGTGTATCATCATTAGTGACCACAGTCTGAACAGAAAGAAAATACAGGGCTAGGGGTTTAGCTTAGCGGCTCCATCACCTGCCTCGCAAGTACAAGATCCAGAGTTCAATTAATGGTACCAAAAAAAAAAAAAAAAAAAAAAAAA